AGCAGTCAGAATACACACATTTATTGATTAACATCACCATCTTTTATATGCATGGTTCATGGCACCCCCAAATAGTTACAATAGTTACATCAAATATCATGATCAGAGATCACCATAACAGATATAATAATAATGAAAAAATTGAAATATTGTGAGCATTATCAAAATGTGACACATAGATACCAACTGAGTTTTTAGAAACATGGTGCTGATGGACTTGCTTGATCCAGATTGCCACAAACCTTCAATTTGTAAAAAACACAATATCTGCAAAGTGCAATAACATGAGGCATGCTTGTGTATGATTCCAAAACCTAACCTTCCCTTTTGATGCTACAGTTGTAAAGAATCAGCGCATTGTCACCATTGGCAATGGTTTCTGCAATTTTTCAAATTTTGAGCTTAGAGTTGTCCACAATTTTGAAAGTGAATACAGAGGGTAGAGGCTTTCTTTTCTTGATGGTCAAGTAAATTATCATTTTGATAAACACTTTTGTGCTCTTACAAAAATTGGATTCTTTAAATGTTTGCATAATTTATAAATATCAGGCTTGTATGTTCAAAATCCATAATATTTTTTTTCTTCTTGATCTATCAATAATTGAAATAGATGCATTAAAATTTCTTCTTGTAGTGGCAAATTTAATTTCTCCATCTGGTTTTGTCCATGTTAACATCATATACTTAGAACCTATTTTTAAAAAATTATAGTTGCTGTAAAATTCTATGCATTTTCAGTAATTTAATTGCTTTGATTATATAGTAAACGTCCTCGCCTTTAGTAAACCCTCTTTTAAAAATGGTATTAATTTGATTTGTATGTTTTCACATCAGTGCGAGGGGTTCTATTAAATGCACTGAATAAGTATAACAGTCTCTAAAGCCAGAGTCAACCATCTTTTTTACATCTTTGCCACTAAATTCTTTTGTCCAGGGTCCCTCCTTCTTTGGAATTGGAGACTATATTTAAGTGCTACTTGGCCTATACAACTTTTATTTGTGGGTCTGCAATGAAGTGGGAGGATCTGAGGCGAGTTGCGGTAAGATCTAGTTCTTTTTCTCCTGTTGGTTTTCCTAAGCTGCAACCATTGAGGTGATAAGGTTGCATTGCTCTTTGAAAACATATCATTTTAAATTCTCTAACTGGAGGGAAAATATGACTTCCTCAATCTTCAAAACTGACCACAAAGGAAGTGTAATCGTTGACTTCCAAATCTTCCTTGAAAAATATCAAGTAGACCTCACTGTTTACCTACATTTGTATTTAAATGATTTATTTCACTAAAGTCTCTATTTATCTAGATTGGTTTTATTTTATCAGTCTAAGGGACCTGAAAAAGTTAGGGGTAGCAAAAGTGTGCTTGATCTTACCACCCACACAGGATTCTTGCTGGAAGACAGATTTCTAAGAGTCCATAAGCTTAACCCAACTTCACCTCCTACACACACTCATATGCCTTCTGATGGGAGAAAGGAAAATAATGGGACATAAAGGAAAATGGCAGAAATTCTATCAAAGTTGTCACTAAAAATGATGAGCAGCATCCAACCCTCTAGACAGGTTTGATTTAAGATCAAAGCTGGCTCCCTGTCATGTTCTATGTCTTACAGATTCAACAAATCAAAGGGTTTCAGTTTAAAGCAAACATCTATAGAGTTAACGTAAAGAGTTGAAGCAGAATATGACAGACCCAGCCTAATTTTTCTCTTTCCTGAAACTTGGTACTGTAAGAGCCACTTCAATAATTTTCCAGAACTTTGAAATTCACAACCCACAAATATTGAATGACTGCTTACTTTGGGCCAAGTAGACCCCCTCAATTCCTCCATCCCTTGCTGTCCCGAAAGGCAAATACATATGTAGGCAGTTGCTTATAAAGGTCTTACGGTTCATTGCTAGGCATAAAATGATGGTGACGGATATAGTGGGAGAGATACAGCCTTGTACTTTACCGTTTTAAAGCAATCTTACATCTATGTCAGAGACCCTGTGCCCTGGTCCCTCAGCTGCAGCCCTCACGGCCCTTGCAACATTCTAGAACTATGATCCTGATTTAGAGACACGCCCCTCCACCCCCCTTATCAACTCCTTCCCGAGTGTGCTCTCTTCCTCGTTGGCAATTTTATGACGCATCCATAAGAAAACCCAAAAGGAAAACGCTGGAGCGTGCCCCGTGTAACTAACGAGATGGGTGCTGTTTCATCTGCAAGAGCAGGTGGAGCACGCGGAGGCCTGCCTGATCATAGCCAACCCTCTGTGCAGCGATTCTCACGCCGAGGACATTTCCAACATCATGAGGTAAGAAGCTGGCCCTGTGCCGTGTGTGCTCCAGTGCTCACCTTCTTCTGTTCTTTTAGAATAAGGCTTAGTGCGTAGGACTAGACAGGAGGACACGCCGTCTACTGCAGCACTAGGTTCATCGTAATCCAAGTTTCTGCCTATTGTTTTGTCCTCACCCCAAGGCTGCGGCTGGTCGCAAGAGGAAGTGAAAAGGGGGCGCCCCCAGTGTGTATGTGCTTCTCCGTTTGCTTCCCTGAAGTTTCACATGGGTGATCGCTATCTGAAATTAAAAAGCAAAATATCTGATTATTACTCAGATAGCACCACTATCACGAAGATACTCCCCTCCTCAAAAATAAAGATACAATTCGTGAACCCTATTAATACACTTTATTTATTGGGGGGGGAGGGTTTATCCAGTAATTCTGGTGAAAGATTGTGCACGATTCAGTATGATGTACTTGTGACCATTGGAAAGTGTTTTCAAGTTGGCTAGAGTTAGTTAGTGTTACCATCTTGAACTGCGAACTGTCGATGAGCAGGAACTTGATGTGTGGTAAGAAAGATTCAGCTATGATGGTGAAGACGATGGCATCATGCCTAACCCAGACGGACTTCTGGTCCTCAGAGCCAAATAAATACACGTAGCTGAATGTGACGCTATGTGTCGCAAGAAACAGCTGAGAACTTGGCCCATGCCTAATACAGTAAATATGAGATAGATCTTAATTTGTAAAATGAGAAAGTTGTATGAGTCTGTGAGCTACTTTAAGCTACAGGCAGCAATTAAATCTCTATTTTTTTTTCCTGCAATTATTATGTTTGGGTTTAATGGCTAAAGCATATGAAACCATTTCCTCTTCAAGAACTAGTCCCACAAGACCACGGTCTTCTAATCCCGAGAGATGACCTTTCCATAGATTTGGTTTACTAAAGTCACTAAAACAATAACACTCTTCCATGTATGCTAGTAGATACAACAGTTTTAGAAAACAGCGTAACGAGGGACTTTATTATATATGTCAAGTCTCTCTACATTTGCCTACACATCAATTTGACTCTGAATTGAATTATATTACAGGGGCATTTGCATAAGACATGCCACTGATGAGCCTGTTTGTGGTTTATGCAGGGTGCTCTCTCTCAAGAGCTACTACTCTAACACCAGAGTCATCATTCAGATACTGCAATCCCACAACAAGGTACCGTGATAACATTGCAGCACACTCAACCTCCTTCTCTTTTAGTCCATAGAGCTAGAGGAACCTTATTACTATCTAACACATCAATAAATGAAAAGTTTTGGCTGTTCTTAGATAAAATTTAGAGTCTCATCAAGATTGTTAGTCACTTAAGAATGTAAATTGGGGCAAGAATTAGAGACCTAAACCATTTGACCTGACTTTGCAATTCTAACCATTTATTTATTTATTTGATTTGGAGCAGTTGACTGCAAACCGTTTTCAAATACTGCATTTGTTCTTATCCCATCCATTGACCTGGGCACCACCTTTATGCCCAAGAGTAATGAATAAATAGTTTCAAGTAAATTAAAAGAAAGAAAGATATCCACCCAAAAGGGCTTTCTTGAGGTATGTTTATTCCTAATTCTTGACCTACTTTCTACCATGTAACAGGTTTATCTGCCAAAGATTCCCACCTGGAACTGGAGTAGTGGAGACAACATCATCTGCTTTGCTGAATTAAAGCTTGGATTCATCGCCCAAGGCTGTTTGGTTCCAGGCTTGTGCACCTTCCTGACGTCTCTGTTTGTTCAGCCAAACCGAAAGGTAGCTTTGGTTGAATCTTGGCTCTCTCCCCATATCTCACATATTAGGATTGGGATTAAGAAAAAAAAAGATTGAGAAAAGCAAGAGGGCCTGAAGAAATAGAATTTAACTTCTGTGTGAGCTGGGAAGGAACTGAGAGATCTAGATTAAGTCCCAGGTCCTGCATTGACCTTGAAGCTGTCATTCATCTTATTCTTGCCTAAGAGCATTTATCTCCGAAACAGAAATCATGACTCCACTTCCTACTTGCAGTTCAGGATGTTAGGAATATAAATATATTCATAAAGGTAGAAGGGTTTTGAGTTATCGAAAGTAGAAATATAAATAAAGGTTACATTATTAATGAAGTAACATATTTAATATAAATTAAACACAAAATAACAATTGACATAATAAAAATTTATATTGCTCAAATAGAAATAATGATATAAATAACAATTAAAATCTAATTTTCCAGGTTATTTTAGGGAAGTTGCGTGTAGTACTAATAATAGTGACCAATAGGTACTCAGGTATTGAGTATCTATTGTGTTGTGTTTCTCCTCAATGATATTTCCAGGCGGTATCCCAGCAATGGGTTGGTGAAGCCAACTAAACTTGATCGTACAGTATGTTAGTGAGCAGCAGAGCTAGAATTGTGGGGTCCCCAGTTTTGCCACTACATCCTATGCTCCTAGTGTTGGGTGTCTACTCACAGTCTCCCACATCAGGTTTTTCAATGCGTTTGTCTGAGACAAAATAAGAGGCCAAAAAGGGATCACTGGGACAAATTTCTATAGCACAAAATGTGGCCTTCCAAATACCATTCCCATGAAATGCCCCCAAGAAAGGTGTCCTAACCCATGGCTGGGGCTGCCATTCTTTGTCTAAAGCCTTTTCAGGGACAGGCTTTCATCTCCATTGAGTTCCAAGTCCACGTTCGCCTCTTCATACACTTGACTTCCTTTCTGGCCTCTCCTTGCACTTTATTTCTTCTGATCAATAGAAATGTTTGCAATCTTTACCTGTTCCATCTCTTCCCCTAATAAAGAAGAGCAAAAGAGGTGAAAAAATGCTCTCTGGTCAGCAAAAGGGTAGCTGGGACAAAGAGAATTCTTCTGCAATTCCACCTGTGAGAGCAAGGAGATACAGCATAGAGGTGAAGAGGAATGCCCAGCAGTCAGTAGGGAACGAACCTTGGTGCTGGTGCAGGGTACATGCTATTACCTTCATCTAGGGACAGGGAGGATGACCTAGGGAAAGGCCCATGAGGAAATTGTCTCTGCCTGCATCGAATGCCTAGAAAGCAGCAGAGAACTTTGATATCTGTTGTGATGACTATGATTTTAACCTCCATGGGTGGAGAAAATGAATGGAATGATAACTCTATATGAAGACATTGCCTCCTTCATGGATATATCCAAGGTGGAGATATAAAGTCATTCCTGTTACAGCTTTCTTAAATTTAGAGCTGTAGCCATTTCACGGAGGATGGTCACCTGACATTATCATCACAAGATGGCTTTTGGAATATAGAAATTGAGAGATATCCGTGGTCTCCATAATCTTGTTTTGTTTTTAATGAAGTTGGAAACCCACTTTTAGAAACCCTAAACTGAACAGCCTCAGGGAAAGATTTGTGAACCCTGTGCTCTCTGCTCTGCTGTTTTAGGTTCTGTAACAAACTGTTGACTTCATTGTATGTTTCATTTTTCTTGTATTAGACACTTACTTTCCCTGACTCTCAGTTTCCCCATTTGTAAAATGAGAGTTGTTCATCTCATCACCTGATTTTCCAAATATTATTGTTTGAAAAACCTCTGAGTACTCAGATTAAAAGGCCTTGAACCAATGCCATGGGTTTTAATTATATTGATTGTATTGTGAAAAATCATAGCTTGAAAAGCATTTCTGGTTGTTTCTAGGTTCAGAGCACTGCCATAAGCTTAAATTTAGATTAGCTCTCATCCAGCTGGCTTCTGTGAGCTTCCAGATTCTTCTATCCAAAGTCCACTTTGTGGACTCCTGGTTTCCTTCCTGATTTTTTAAGCCCTACCTCAGGAAGTCTTCTTCATATCTATGGTTATCACTTTCTACCCTCTTCCAAAAATTGAAGTATTTGGATTAGAAGCACTAAGCCAATTTCTTTAGTCATCGAGACTTAAACAGAGGTGTGAACTGCCCCATGAGGGGAAGCCTTCATTGTCAGAGGTATTTAAGCAAGTGGGAAGGGGCAAGAGATTCAGGTGAATCTTGTTGGTGGGGAAGGGAACTGATTTGCCTGAAGTAGGTGGCGCTTTTTCGCAAGGCAGAAAAAAACCTTTATTTGTTTGTTTTATTTATTTGTTTGTTTGTGTGTTTGTCTTTGTTTCGTTTTTTCCCCCAAACACATCATGGCCCTCGGAGGAGAATCTCTGAACCAGTCATAACCCTGCACAGCACCAGTGCTCCAGAAGGTTTAGAAATGCCATTCTTTCATCTGAGATTCTGGGCTGTGAGAAGCCCATCCTGCTATCGCAGAGCTGGGTGGTGGCGATTCTCACGGCAGCAGGTGGGGCAGGACGAGAGGAGGACCTCACACGTACACCTCAGCAATGAGTTTCCAACAGCCTCCCTGATGTGCTCAATTTAGCCTTTTATTTTTATTTTTATTTCGGCATATTATGGGGGTACAGATTTTAAGGTCTCAATAAATGCCCATTTCCCCCCCTCCCCCCACAAGTCTGAGTCTCCATCATGACAATAGGTATTTTTTGCCAATGTGTTGAGCTTTCTTTCTTGATGGTCAAGTAAAATTATCATTTTAATAACACTTTTGTGCTCTTACAAAATTGGATCTTTAAATGTTGTTTGCATTAATTTATATATCAGCTTGTATGTTCAAATCCATAATATTTTTTCTTCTTGATCTATCAATAATTGAAAGAATGCATTAAAATTTCTTCTTGTAGTGGACAAATTTAATTTCTCCATCTGGTTTTTGTCCATTTAACATCATATACTTAGAACCTATTTTAAAAATTATAGTTGCTGTAAAATTCTATGCATTTTCAGTAATTTAATTGCTTGATTATATGGTAAACGTCCTCACTTTAGTAAACCTCCTTTTTAAAAATGGTATTAACTTGATTGTATGTTCTCCACATCAGTGCGAGAGGGTTCTATTAAATGCACTGAATAAGTATAACAGTCTCTAAAGCCAGAGTCAACCATCTTTTTCATCTTTGCCACTAAATTCTTTTGTCCAGGTCCCTCCTTCTTTGGAATTGAGAATATATTAGTGCTACTTGGCCTATACAACTTTTATTTGTGGTCTGCAATGAGTGGAGGATCTGAGGCGAGTTGCGGTAAGACTAGTTCTTTTTTTCCTGTTGGTTTTCCTAAGCTGCAACCATTGAGGTGATAAGGCTGCATTGCTCTTTGAAAACATTCATTTCAATCCTCTAACTGGAGGAAAATATGACTTCCTCAATCTTCAAAACTGACCACAAAGGAATGTAATCGTTGCCTTCCAAATCTTCTTGAAAAATATCAAGTAGACTCACTGTTACCTACATTTGTATTTAATGATTTATTTCACTAAAGTCTCTATTTATCTAGATTGGTTTTATTTTATCAGTCTAAGGACTGAAAAAGTTGGGGTACAAAAGTGTGCTTGATCTACCACCCACATAGGATTCTTGCTGGAGACAGATTTCTAAGAGTCCATAAGCTTAACCAATTCACGCCTACACACACTCATATGCCTTCTGATGGGAGAAGGAAAATAATGGGACATAAAGGAAAATGGCAGAATTCTATCAAAGTTGTCACTAAAAATGATGAGCAGCATCCAACCCTCTAGACAGGTTTGATTTAAGATCAAAGCCGGCTCCCTGTCATGTTCTATGTCTTACAGATTCAACAAATCAAAGGGTTTCAGTTTAAAGCAACATCTATAGAGTTAACGTAAAGAGTTGAAGCAGAATATGACAGACCCAGCCTAATTTTTCTCTTTCCTGAAACTTGGTACTGTAAGAGCCACTTCAATGAATTTTCCAGAACTTTGAAATTCACAACCCACAAATATTGAATGACTGCTTACTTGGGCCAAGTAGACCCTCAATTCCTCCATCCTTGCTGTCCGAAAGGCAAATACATATGTGGCAGTTGCTTATAAAGGTCTTACGGTTCATTGCTAGGCATAAAATGAGGTGACGGATATAGTGGGAGAGATACAGCCTTGTACTTCATCGTTTAAAAGCAATCTTACATCTATGTCAGAGACCCTGTGCCCAGGTCCTCAGCTGCAGCCTCACGGCCCCTTGCAACATTCCGAACTATGATCCTGATTTAGAGACACACCCCTCCACCCCCCTTATCAACTCCTTCCCGAGTGTGCTCTCTCCCTGTTGGCAATTTTATGACGCATCCATAAGAAACCCAAAAGGAAAACGCTGGAGCGTGCCCGTGTAACTAACGAGATGGTGCTGTTCATCTGCAAGAGCAGGTGGAGCACGCGGAGGCCTGCCTGATCATAGCCAACCCTCTGTGCAGCGATTCTCACCGCCGAGGACATTTCCAACATCATGAGGTAAGAAGCTGGCCCTGTGCCGTGTGTGCCCAGTGCTCACCTTCTTCTGTTCTTTTAGAATAAGGCTTAGTGCGTAGGACTAGAAAGGAGGACACGCGTCTACTGCAGCACTAGGTTCATCGTAATCCAAGTTTCTGCTATTGTTTTGTCCTCACCCAAGGCTGCGGCTGGTCGCAAGAGGAAGTGAAAGGGGGCGCCCAGTGTGTATGTGCTTCTCCGTTTGCTTCCCTGAAGTTTCACATGGGTGATTGCTATCTGAAATTAAAAGCAAAATATCTGATATTTACTCAGATAGCACCACTATCACGAAGATACTCCCCTCCTCAAAAATAAAGATACAATCGGAACCCTATTAATACACTTTATTTATGGGGGGAGGGTTTATCCAGTAATTCTGGTGAAAGATTGTGCACGATTCAGTATGATGTACTTGTGACCATTGGAAGTG